AATGCCCGAATGTCAACGGCGAGTTTATTCGCAAAAAACCCAAAACTAAATGCCAGTCCCAAAAGGAGAGGCAAAACTTTCGATGCAAGCAAATGCAAGGCCCGAATGATTTATGGCCCCAACTTGAAAATGGAAAATGTGCGATTGTTTCAAGCCACTAAAACGGAATGGAAATGGAAATGGCAGCGAGAAACGAAGGGCCAGGGGGGGGCGATTCGGGGGGCGTGACCCCCATCGCCATTTATTTAACGTATGCGAAAGGCGAAAAGCGAAAAGCGAATCGTGCTGCGATTTCTTCGATTGGAAAAATTGAATTATACACATTTGATGAGCATAATAAAAACTGGCAGCTGCCTTTGCCAATGAATGCATTCCAAATTGTTTGGCGCTCTGGCAGTGGCACAGTGGCAGTGGCACAGTGGCAGGGTCCTCCTTGAAAAAAAATTGTACAATTTTTCGGTGCATTTATTGACACAGAATTGATTTATTTTTGTGTGCGAAACCAATGCATTGTGGATCTAAATTGAAAACAATTCAAATGAAGTTTTAAGTCTTCGTGGCTGGGGGTTGAAATTTAAATAAAGAGCTGGCTTTGATGGATAGTTTATCTACCAAATATTTACACTTTAATTAAGGTTTTTTGCAATTGATATCCTTTACTTTTCCACACAAAAGGCAAACAAATCAAATAGATATCAATTTAGTAATGAATTGGCATTTGAGGATGCCGTAAGTTTGAGGAAATTGAGAGAAAAACGACATCCACTCGTTCTTTAATTCATTTAAATACAAATAGAGTGAAATTAGTTACAATTTACTTTGATTTTTAAACACACATTTCGGACAAGGCACATAAGAAAAAGTAGATCCCAAAGAAGCCACGAAGGAGTCCCAGAAAATAACGAAAAAGTGCATGTGAGCAAGTCGCAAGTGCGCGAATTTCAATCACAAGGGGCACGCGATGAAGAAATTCAACAAGGACTATTCGAACGGAGACAATCGTGCCGGTAGGAAAAGGACACTTTCTGAGAAAAGGGCAGACAACGCCAACGAGTGCTTCGACTAGATACATCCGCCTCGTTTCTGCATCGCGCATTCGAGTAGGAGCCCATAGCTGAATATTCCGCTCATCCGAAAGTGCTGATTGGTGCTAAGGACAAGGAATATTTATATTTTCATGCGCTCAAATTCAAGCAGGAATAAAAATGCCACTACCAGAAACTGAGACACCACCAGAGCGGTTCATCGGCACTGATTCAGCTTCAAACAAGTTTCCTGAAGTCTATTCAATCCTTGCCTTCCAATGACATCGTTCTAGGCATCGTTCTGGTTCACAAAAAGGCGGCAAATGGTTTGCTATTGCTAAAAATGTTCCCATTCAAGTCTAACTATTCGATTCCCAGGGCTCTTCCTCTTTTGGCGCAGTAAAACGCATATTCTGAGGCATAGAAAAGGTACATTTATTCACTTAACAAAGCATATTTTGCGATTTATTATTATGGCCAGAACCAATGCAGTTTCGTTTGCTATTAAACGTTAAGTAGAGCTGCCATAACTATAAATAGCTCCTATTGTTATGGGCCGCAGTTATTATTGTGCTTGTTTTTATGCCCTGCTATGGGGCTAGACGCGGAGGGAGAACTTCCTTTCCTGCCTTGAGCTAAGCTGCAGCTTTATGTGTTTCGAACTGGCGCAATTCCGCAGATTTCTGCAGCCACATCAGGAAGCTTTCAGTGGCATGCGGCACACGCACTTTTCACATGGTGGAAAAATCCTGCCACCGATTGACGCGTCGAGAACTTTTAGCCAAGTTTATTGCATCACAAACGGGGCCAGAGCCGGAGCCCGACCAGGCCATTTAGCCCGTAGCGGTGGCGGAGGCGGGGGCGGGGACCGGGCACGACTCCCATAACCCGCTCAATTGAAAAAGACAAAAACGAGGCGACTCTCAGACACGTTCCGGTGCCCGGCCGTCGGCCGTCGCCGCCCATCTGGGGAGGTGGCATTCGGAACAGGCGCACAGCAATCGACAGGCGGCACATGCAACAGCGATTTTCGGTGCTACGTGCAGCATGGACTGACAGGCGGCTGAAGGGGGAGGGGGGGGCGGCAGAACATCGAGAGGATTGGCCACCATTCGTAATCCACTTTCGCGTCCTATGCTTCTTTCTGCATTTCGTTTGAGCCGCAAACATTTTAGCTTTTATGGCCGAAAGGGGTAACCCCTCACACACACACATACACCCCCTCCACACACACACACACCCCCCCACCCACACACACACACTCACACACACACACGTCGGGACGTGGAAAATGCAATTTCCAAAAATTTCTACGCCAAAAAGTCGTCGATGAAAATGTGGCATACGAACAACAATTTTTTGTACTTTTAAGTCGCTCCCCCCTCTCCCCCCCCCTCCCCCCTCCCCTCCCTCCAGCAAATATTCACAGAAAAAACTTTTCGTTTTGGCATAAACCGATTTGGTAGCAAATTTTATGTCGTTTAGGTGGAAAAATTCCCAATCGCCTGCCTCTGGGCTCCAATCGGATCAGGGATTCAAGGAGCCTTTCGACTGAGAGGAGTGCTCTGTATTTTTTTCCTGCCTGACTTGTTACCGTTGCTGTAGTTTACCGTTAAATGACATTACAGGGGGGGTTAAATGGAGCATCGAGGACTAATTGAATTCCGGGAAAGAGGAAAAACTACAGAGCTTTTCATTTGCAAGGATGGAAGAGGGTCCTGATTGTAACAGATATGCGGGAAGCTGGAAACTGGCGGAGAGATCTATTTCTAGCAGGGATTGGGGGGAATTTTGGGTGGAAGAAACTTCAAGAAAGAGGTGGCTTGAAGGACCTGTTCTTTGGGGTATTAAATGTATTTTATAGCACCTAAAAGCAGGGACCATATAGACAACCACAAGAGGGATCTCAGCTCAAAAGCCACCGCTTGCATTCCCATGTCTTTGAGGTCTTCCACAAAAAGCTACATTGATCAGGACCCACGTCAAAACCCCCATCGATAATGTAGGAAATCATTGAATGGGCCAATGTAAACAAGAGATGATGAACATCAAGGAAATGAGGGCTGTTCTGCAGGGGATCTAGCAACAGATCGGCCTCAAGGCCAAGCAGTGGGTGCGCCTAAAGCGAGGCCTCTACAAGGACGATATGGCGCAGGGGAGACTACGTCGATCTGGCCCAAAATCAAGTTCATCGGAGACTCCAAAGCCAACCAATAGATTCTACAAGAACGAGCAGTGCTTTGAGGACAACAGCCACATAAACTGACGATGGGCTAGAGGCCCACCCATGGCCATGGGTGCAGAGGCTCACTCAGAGGGCGCTCAAGGGATTTCCACTCCCTCATACGGCGTTAAGCTCACCTTAGCCAGGCTAGAAGGCTTCCATTTCTGGCTGGGATACAAGGGGGATCCCTTAAGCGTCTATTTTTACAGGATTTTAAAGCCCTATTGTATATCCTTCCCTCCAAAAAGGGCTGTTGTTCATTCGTTGGGCTTTAATTAAGGCGCTCTCGATTAATGACAGAACACGGCCAATGCCATTTCAATGGGTATTCGAATACGAATACGAATACGAAACCATGCATTTGCATCTGCATCTGCATCGGAATCGGAATCTGTGCAATCGAGTGCATCCGGCAGCAGATGTTGTGCGGTTGTCGCTGAAAATGTTTGTCCGGAGTGTGTACGGATTCAGTGTACGGATAATGCCCGCATACACGCCTCGGATCGAATCCGGATCGCCACCCGCCAAACAATGCCATAAATAAACGAAGCGAAACGAAACCAAATTTGCGAAATTAATTAAATCGACAGGCAAAAGTAACGAGTGCGCTTTGGTTCAACGCTTTGAGGGCGACCAAATAACACACGATGCCACACGATGCCACACACTTCACTGCCCTCCTGGGGCACCGCACCGCCAATGTGGATGGTTTGATGGGGTCTGTGGAACGGCGACAACAGGCCTTAAAGCCTTTGACTGTGGCGATCCAAGGGCGAGTGGAGAGAGACAGAGAGGTCTTACAGCCAGGCACAGGAAGAGGAGCCGCAGACGAGGGCTCTGCTCCCACAGGAAGAGAGATTAACAGCCTTGGATTTGAAGCATCTACCGTGCTAGCCGGGCATTATATTCATAAATACTAGAAAACAATGACCAGAGATCAACACTTAAAAAGTGCAACGCTGGCTCCTGGTCATCCTTCTCTGCGGCAATTCCTTTTGCTTGAGAACTCCATTCTCCTTCGAGGGCGGCAGGATTCCCAGTACTTCCAAGACCTCCGCAGGACTCAAGGTGCTCGATGGCATCTGCTTCTTGCTGTTCCTCCGGAGTCTGACAGCCACCTGCTGCTGGAGGTATTCGGTTCTCAGGCCCGCGTAGACAACAGCCTTGATCAGGAGGTTGCGCAGCGCCGTGGCGCTTGCTAGCTTGGAGGCCTGCTTTCTCGTCAATGTGCCCCCGGCGGCCACAGGGTTGGCGCGCTTTACCAGGGCATCGTAAAGCGCTGCAAAGTTTTATTGGAGTTTGAATTGAACCCAGGAAATGTGTGTAGTGTCTTACGTTTAATTTGTTCGCCGTCTGCGGGGTTCTCCTTGAGGACTGCCGCGACATTCACGGCAGCCGTGTACAGTACAGGGTCCGATTCCAGCCCATCTGTTAAGATGTCCATCGGCGATGCTGGCGAGCTCTGGGCCTTTGCTATGAGATTCAACTGGAACCACAAATACCACAAATAAACAAGGGAATATCCTCAACAAAGGGAATCCTGGAGAAACTTACCTGCGCCACTCGCAGACTCTCCAGCTCCAGCCTCATTTCCTTCATCGACTCTGGGGCACTTTTTGCTTCCATTTTCGCCAAGTTTTCCTCCACGTTCAACTCTGCGCGTTCCAGCTGGCTCTCGACTATCGAAACCTATCGATACCAGTGTTGCAAAGCTGAAATTTCGACTAGTGCTGGGAAAATCCATCCACGCGATGGCCAATAAAAAGTTCTTGTTTCGCTGGAACGATCACCAGCGCTCGCTGATCGGAATGTTCGAGAGTCTGCGGCTGACCGAGACCCTGGTCGACTGCTCGTTCGCCGCCGAAGGCCAGTCCCTGAAGGCCCACAAGGTGGTTCTGTCCGACTGCAGTCCCTACTTTGCCGCCCTGCTCCCGGGCCAGGACGACAAGCACCCGATCTTCGTGCTGAAGGACGTGAAGTACCAGGAGCTCCGCGACCTAATGGACTACATGTACCGCGGCGAGGTCAACGTCTCGCAGGACCAGCTGGACGCGTTTCTCAAGGCGGCAGAATCGCTGCAGATCAGGGACGGGAAGGCGCGCTCGCCGGGACTCCTCCGGATCGGGCGGGGATTCGTCTAAAGTCGAAAAACGCAGCCCGGAGAAGGGTGAGTACTGCAAAAGGAAGTAAATCCCTCCTCTAACCCATCGTGACCCCCGGCAGGTGACCGCGAAAGCTCCGAAGCCATCATGAAGGTGAAGGTGCAGCCGCAGAGCCCAGGCGCAGCTCCCGGAGAAGCCGCTGGAGCCGTGCCACTGGCAGGCGATCCCAGGGACCACAGCGTCGAGCAACAGCAGCGGGAGCCCCGCCACTCGCCACTCGTCACTCGCCACTCGCCATTCGGTCTGTGTGGCGAAGCAGTCTACGAGTGCCGTCAGTGTGGCAAGAAGTATCGCCGTCTGCTCTGTCTGAGGCGCCACGAGAAAACCGAGTGCGGCAACAAGGAGCCGGCCCATCAGTGCCCCTATTGTGTGCACAAGTCGAGGCAGATGGGCGGCAACCTGCGGCTGCACATGTTGCGGCATCACCGCACCCTGCCCCAGCTGCCCCGGCAGCGACGCAGCAAGAATTGCCCCTAAAGTAGAGCGAAATGTGGTTTCAAATCAATAAAGTCCCCTTATCATTGGGGCCTCTGGCATATCCTTCCTATATTCGAGGCCCCAGGCCCTAGGACAGGACATCAGTGGCATTGATTTGCATTTGCACAGCACATTAAGGATTCACACTTGCCAGCCACCATCCATCGAGCACAGACACACAGCCTCCACGCACATAAATAATCGATGGGCAAAAGCTGCGGGCGGCCTTCCGCCTCTTCCTGCTCGACTCAATCGGCAATTAATGCCACTCAGATGTGTCTGGGCTAAGATATGGAAACATATGCCAAAGAATCGCCCGCTCGCTCTCATTAATAATCGGGCAAATCGTTCATACATCACTCATACGTCATGTGGGCTCAGGCCGTTCATCAAAGAACGTCTTGTCTTGGCGGGGGGGGGGGGGGCCCTGTGCGTGACGGGCTGTCTAATCTATGCGGCCTTGTTTGCGGTATCAATCACAATGTTGAAGCGGGATGTTCAAGCGGGATTATGCGGGTGGATTGAAAGGGTTCAGACAACCCCCAAGGCCCCCCTCCAAATCTCTGAGTATTTGGGAGCTGAGGGGAAACACAAGGGGGAAAATCCTAGTCACTAGTCGTTAAATGTCAACAAATTGTAGTCGGCCTGTCCTGGTCTAGAAAATTATATTCCCATGTCCAAGAAACCGGCGCCCATACCGAAAACCCAGCCCCGTGCCCCGGGCCCCAGGGGACAGGACACGAAGGCCAACAATGATCTGTTCCTGAAGGAGGTCTTCAATGCCACCAACAAATGCCGGGGCCTGCACGGCTGTCCGGCGCTCACCATCAGCAATGATCTCAACAAAATCGCCCAGGAATGGGCCAATGTATGTCCTCCACCAAGAACGCTCCCCCTCTCACCATCTCTCCCTGTGCCCCTCCAGCATTTGCGCGACAAGAACGTGATGGAGCATCGGCCCAATCCCAAGTACGGCGAGAACATCTTCCTCTCGGGCGGCATGGATGTGTCCGGCGATCTGCCCGTGGACATGTGGTACCGCGAGATCAACGCCTACAACTTCGACAAGGCGGAGTTCACGCCCACCTCGGGCCACTTCACGCAGCTGATTTGGAAGGCCAGCAAGGAGATGGGCTCGGGCGTGGCCCGCAAGTGAGTGGCGGTCTCCAGAGATGGCCCAAAACTAAAGTCTTGCCTTTCCCCAGAGCGGACAGAACTTGGGTGGTCTGCAACTACAATCCTCCGGGCAATGTGGTCGGTCAATTCCGGGACAATGTGCCCAAGAAATTAAAGGACTGAGAGGGAAGGAACTGGCAGGAAGTGGGCAATGGGACGAGCTATACTTTGGTCGAGTCTCTTAGGAAATATAAAACCAGGACAGGAGTCGATCGAAGCTTTATTCGTTTTTTTCGGGGATTGCTTTGGGGATTTCTGTGGTGCTTTCAAGGACCCATTTTCAAGGGCAAGAACCCTGCATCGATGCTGGTTTATCCTCTGGAATGCCCACCACAAGAGCTACAGACTACCTTCTGTTCGGAGTCCTTTTCCCACAGGTCACAAGTCCTTGAATTCCCAGAATTGTGGCCCATCTTCTCGGTCCCCCCCCAATCTGCTGTGGCACTTTCCCCCCCCCTGTCCTGTGGCTTGGTGTGGGGTGGCCGCCTGTTTCTATATATTTTTTTTAGAATTTTTTCTACGAATTTTCCGCGTCACATTTTCATAAAATTTCCTCCTCTTTCCACACCGCTGTTTTTTTTAATTTTTTCTTTACTTTTCTTTACGTTTCTCTCTGTGATGAGAATTTCACGTCACACATCATTAATTTGAAATTTTTGTCATAAATATCCTGCGAGGCGGACGGCGCACGGCGGACGGCGAACATGGCGCCCGGCAGCGGGTGGTCGGGTCAGGCAGGTGTCAAGGGTAAATTATGGCAGCAGCAGGTGGCCCGCCCACCCCGACATGTCAGCCTCTGATGGACTGTCTGTCAGCTGAGCGTGGAAATTAAAAGGCAACATTTGTTCGCCCTTTTTTGGGGCTGGCGATTGAAATTTGTTACTTAATTGGGGTGCCTACTGTCTGGCGGTCGGCATTCATTGGTTTCTATACAATGCGGACCCACTTCTCGCCCTTCCCTCCCTCTGGCTCCTTGCCCACCAACTTCTGATGCCTCTGATAACTTTGACTGTGAAAATCTCCGCTTAATCTGGTTAATTCCCGTACCCTGATTCGCACCTTATTAAAGCAGACACACGCCGCCAGTAGGCGATAACTTTAAACCGCCGTAGACGTAGTCGTAGTCCCAGCCGTAACCGTTAACCGTTAACCCAATAAACCACTTTTAGGAGCGACAACAGAAGGGCAAACGACTGTTGCCTGTTCCCTGTTCCCTGTTCTGCACCGTCAACAAGTGACAGCAAAACCAGCGCAAATACCCATAGATACACACACACACTCTCACGCACACACACACTCGCTGTGTGGCACGTCAAAGTTGGCCTGGCATCGTGCCACTGGAATTTCCGTTGGCCACATCACCTTCCTTCACACACAACAGCAAAAAAGAGTGCAAAATACCATCAGGCCAGGAACGAGCGCGAAAAAAATATGTATAAACATATAGAAAAAACCAGCGGAAAGCACACGAAGCAGGCAATGAATTTTTAAAGACAATTTGCTGGATTTTTCTGCAAGTTTTTTAAAAGCAAAGGAGAGGCCAGTGGGGCAGGGATGTGGCTTGCTTGGGGCAGGTCTTTGTTTGGCGATGAACGTGACGCTCCTGCAGATTACAGCCTTGACACTCGTTCAGAAAGTCGGCCATAAGGAAAGTCCCTCTGGGGTACGAGTGCTCCCTGGGAGAAAGCGAATTAACTGTTTCAAGGGGGTACCAAAAATGGGGATTTTTGAATAGATATCTTCAAGAATACAAGGGGGGATATAATTATTATTCATTTTATTATTTTAATTATTATTATTATTATAATTATTATTATAATTATTATTAATTCTGTAATTATTATTATAATAATAATTATTATTATGAGTATTATACAAATTATTATTTTAATCATTATTATAATAATTATTATTTCCATTATTATTTTAATTATTATTTTAATTATTATTTCCATTATTATTTTAATTATTATTTCCATTATTATTTTAATTATTATTTCCACTATTATTTTAATTATTATTTTAATTATTATTTCCATTATTATTTTAATTATTATTTCCATTATTATTTTAATTATTATTTCCATTATTATTTTAATTATTATTTCCATTATTATTTTAAATATTATTTTCATTATTATTTTAATTATTATTTCCATTATTATTTTAATCATTATTATAATTATTGATATAATTCTAATTTTTATTATAATTATTATTATTATAATTATTAATATTTTTATTATTTTTATAATTATTATTTTTTTTATAAATATTATTATGTGGTTCTTTTCTTTGGATTTTCTGTTATCAAAATCGAGAAAGAAAACTTTTTTAAAGGGCGAACACTCGTTCCTAAAAGATACTTTTTTGGACAGATTAAAATATAATTTTTGCAGAATTATAGAGCTCAAGGAAGTACGATATCCCTAAGTCATAGACTCTCAATTCTGCCAATTAGTTTACCACAGACATTATAAGCCTTTTAAAAACATAAAAGTTTCGGCATTCCTTTCAACAAAAATGCAAATAAATTCCATGAATTTATCGACCTCAAACGAATGTGTGTTCCATTGAAGAGTTCTTTGTTTCCGGTGCTGTTTCCGCTGTGACAGCGTTCATTGTTCCACCTGGCACCTTGTGGAGTGGCACGAAACGGTTAAATGCATTCAGCTGTCAAAAAAAGCCGCATACAAAAGTTCAATTTAATTACCACAAAGAAAGCGTGGCAACAAAGACAAGGATGCAGTGGCAGGGCGCACAGAGGGGCAGGGCGGCAGGGCGGCAGCTCCAACTCCAATGAATCGTCCCGCGACTGCCAATGAGTTTTACAATGTAATTAAGCTGACTGAAAAACTTCCCCTTCTTTTTTTTTTTTTGTTGCCTGTTCAGGGGGCAAACGAGGTCACCAGGCAGCGGGGGAAGCCCAGAAGTCGAATGGCGGAAGGCAGCGGAGGGGAGTGGAGGGGCAGTTGGAAAGCTTTCTGCGTTATGCATTGTAATTTGCGTGTAATTTTCAAGGCGTTGGGAGAAACGTGAAAATGCTTCTGCAGAACAACAACAACAATAATAATTGCAACTGCAACAACAACTAAAAAAGAGAAGCCACCGAAGCTGTAGATACTCTAAGGATTCGACAGACGCCAGAGATGTGGGATATCTTGATCTCAAAAAGTGAGGAAAATATGGTGGGTAGTGCTAAATTGTTCTATTACTTGCTCGCTCTCTCTAGTAGTAAGCCAAACAGCGAGTGAGCGGGATAAAAAAACGAAATTTTTGGTTTATAAGCCATAAAAATGTCCATACCTGCTTAAGAGTAAGCTGAGACGGCCCCAAAGGAATCGATGCTGTGGCCTGTTCAAGCCCAAACATTATATACCGATACGATCTCTAGGTTTCCCACTTATCCCCAGCCTTAGGCAGATATTTTTACCACTGAAAGACTATTGACTGGGCATTAGATAGACTTCTCTCTCTCTTCTCTCTAGACTTTCTCCCTTTGTTCTCTTCAAAAATCGTTATACCCTTTGAAAAAGGCCCAACAACACCGCTTGGCAGCTGCTTTAAGGCAAAAGTCTCATTTATTTTAATGTGTCGACGCTGACGACGTGCAAATGTCTGCCAGTTTTCGCAGCAGCAGGTTTTTCCCTTCAGTTTTCGCAGGGAGTCCACAGCACTCCCCCCTCCCCCCACCGCCTTGCTCCAAATTGCTTGCAGATGCAACTGCAATTGTTTGTCTGTATGCGTGTGGGTTTTTCTGTGTCTGTGTGTGTGTGTGTGTGTGCTTCTGTGCGTGTGTGCGTTGTAATTATTAAGCTGACATTGCAGCTGCTGCTCTGCTGCTGATGATAGTCCCGTTGGTATGCGCAGGGCTGCATAACCGATTAAGAAAAGGTATTGCAATAAATATACATGAATAAAAGGAGCTACAGGGAGCCCAATGTTTCGAGGCAGAGCCACGGAATTGTGGTAATATCTTAGGGAGAAATTTGTTGTATAAAAATTCATTCCAAAATCTCCTGCAGAAGTTTCTATCGTTAAAGAGGATTTTTGTAAAGAAAATACTTTAATTTTTGTTTCCCCGATCTCGAACCTGCTCTCCCTTAATTGTACACCCCTTCTTGCCATCAAATCCATCCCCATCCCTGGCTCTGTGGCGCCCTGTCATTCGCTCTGTCATTTTGTGTGGGTCAAACCTCACTCCGCCCCCGCCCCCCGCCCCCGCCCCCGCACGTGGCAGACAGCGGCCATAACAATGCCAATTTTAATGGTCATTACAATAAAGCTCATAGCCATAAAAAATGCACAGCAACATCGAAAACATCGCCAACAAGGGCGCCAACGGGGGGGTGGGCATGGTCGGCGAAGGGGGAGGGGGAGGCCGGGGATATCATGAGCATTTATTGGGCTTATGGGTCGTATTAATAATATTCATCTGGGCGGCACGGCACGGCTCGGCACGCGCTCCCCACATCCTAGAATAAAATGCAAATGAATTAAATTTCAATTTTGCAACACAAGGCGGCGATGCAGAAAAAATATACTACAACCAATTTGTATGAATATTTGTTGTAGTTTTTTGTCACCAATTTTTGTTCGAGCAGTTAATGGCCTTTTGGTGTGTGGTACAAATGTTTTTGGCTGTCGGGGGAAGGGTTGGGGGGGAGTAAGGGGGAGGGGTCTTTATTTAAGTGTTATTTTTATTCAAGTGCAATGAAATCCTGTAATCAAAGTTTAATTTATGCATTTAGGCAGGAGGGCAGCCAAGGTAAGCCATGGCCAGGGCATAGGGACATTTGCAGAGATTTCCAGAGCACCAAAAAGTGTTTCCTCAGCCGACAATTGCCACAAAAGACGAAGGGATCGACGGGTAAGCCCTCACAGGCATAAGGAACGTCTCTTGGACTCCTCCCGGTACGGATTATATCCAGAGCGATGGGTTTCCTCTGCCAGATATAGGCTTTGCTGCACGTTTTGGGGTCTACGATGGGGTCCAGATATGTATATCCCAGTGCCCAATAATATATCCGTTTCAGTTAGTAGCACTTCCAGCTTTCCTCCAGCCAGTCCCTGCTCTGGGCTCCAGTTCTATGGCCTTTACATTGCTCCCTAGTATGAGGGTAGAGCTCTACAGGATCATAGCTACATATATCATTGTGGCAAAGCTCCAAAGCCTGCTGTCGAAACAGCTTTACCTGCCACACCTGTCCGCTTATG